ACTGGGGTAACTCTTGATCCTGTGTGACTAATGCTTGATACCAGTCTAATGTGGCATTTTCATGAACATAGAATATAGCCCAAAATTTCTGATGATGAATCTGTTCGTGAATTTCTTGTCGTATTGTATGATTTTTAGATTCTGCAAGTTCTGATATTCTTGTATAATTCCATACTTCAAAATCTCCAAATGGTTGAACCGCTGGTACTTCTGTGAAATAATATTCCACTGTTTGACCTACTATATTGGGCAAATCACCAACTGGTTGGTCTGCAATAATCACCGCCATTTTCAAATCCTTATATCTCAAATCTCTTTGATAGTAAGAACCGGTATATATAGACAACACACCGGTAAATCCAACAACCAAGAAAACATAATTGATTAAAAATCTGGTTATGATTTTAAGTCTTTCCTGTTTGAATTCCTCATCCCACCAACGATACTTTTGCACTTTCTCGACAGTGCTAGCAATAGAACTTCTTCGTCTGGATATTTGTGGACGTACCGGTGGTTGATCTGCCAGCGGTGGAGTCGACGGTGGTTGAGGTGGTGATGGTGGTTTCTCAGCGTATCCTTCTTGAGATGTATCAGAACTGGAACTTTCTTCTTGTGTCTTCATATTAGGAATCTCCTTTTGCCCACGTTCTTCGTCAGCAGTGGTTCTATTGGTCATCGCAGTAGCAATATGTTGTGTTCCGAACAACTCCTCCATATAGTTATGTTCATTCAAGGACATAATAGACCCATCATCTTCATCTTCTTCGTCATCTTCTTCCTCATATCTATTAGGATTACCATTATGGTCTTGCTGATTTGAATTGGAATTACTTGTATCAGTATTTCGACGGAAGAATTTTATGGAAGACATGGAAAAATTCCGCCCGGTGTTGGGGTCTCGTTGCGACTGATTTTGGTTTTGGTGGGGCTGCTGTGGCGTGTCATTCTCATTGTCACCTGCACCATTGTTAGTGGAATCTATTGGCATCTGTCACTTTTATCAACGCTTTTGGTTATTTGAATATTCACAATAATATATATTATTATGATTAGCAAATGATATCCTTTTTTTTTTCATTTCGAATTCATTTTGGTTCATCATTTGCAACGTATAATTTCCTATTCAGAAAAAGTTTCACTAAAGAGGAACAGCCGGCTATGTAGGGTTTGGTATAGAAATTGGTTGAGAGCCCATGCAACAAGTATTAATATTAATACTTTTTTCTAATTATTACTGTGAAATTGCTGTGTTATTGGTAAAATTTTATTTATTCCTAATCGACGTATACCTGATGGCCGGACCTCCAAATAAAAATTCCATGTATTTCTTGTCCCTTTTTCCTATTCATTTGCTGGTTTTATTCTTCTAGTTATTTCCCAACTAACTTATTTCATAGACATGCCCCATGCTGCTGAGGAATCCGTGCATCCAAGAAGTACTGGTAGACCAACAGACGAAACTCCTGGTACTAGCAATAACAGTCACATTGAAAATGAAAATGAATCTCTAGACTCGGATAATAATAATAACGAGGTCGATGATTATTATGGTGATAGCGATAGTGATCAACAGGAAACAGTTATGGACTATGCGGGTTTAACATCAAATGTTGTTGATCAGGTTGAAACTCAAGAGTTGGAAACAGAACATCGAAAACAAGAAGTGAAAGATAGAAACATTGAACAAAAGAAACTTACACCTAAAGAAAGATTTGATGAATATATTAAAGCAGCACCGAAATTTGTTTTTGCTTATGTTCAAGTGTTTTGCATTTACGTGGGATTCTTGTCTATTTATTGGGGTGCGATGTATAGAAGAGACACGAGATTCAAGAATATTAAATATGTGGTGATTAACCAAGATACAGAATTTGATTATAATGGAGTTACAGTTCAACCTTATTTGGGTAATGCAATGGAAAGTCTATTATTTGATAATTCAACAGTTAGGACAAGAGGTAATTTTTTATATCCTAATATGACTGATTTTACACTCCTGGCTCAAAATCATAACAACACCCTAATGGAGGAAATGATTCACAAGATACATCATCAGAAATACTGGGGAGGTGTTTATATTGCTCCTAACACTACACGTAATATTTACGAAAGTTTTCATAATGCCAATGGTACTTTCATGTCATCTGGAGCAATTAATGAGTCCATCACGGTTGTATACGAAACTGGGAGACATTTTGGTGGGGTTGTACAATATACATTTAGAGGTCTTGATTTAATTGGTGAAACTTGGGTCAAGTATTATGTTTATCCCCAGATATATAAACCAATTATTGAACTGCTTAATTCGACACAGAAACGGGCGTTATTGGCAAACAACGAGACGGTTCCTATATTTACCACATTTCCTGAGTTTACATTTGTCGATAAAGCCCCCAGTCCAGCACCGGAAATGATTGGTGTTGGTCAAATTGAATTAATTTACTGTTTATTGATATCATTCTATAGTTTTTCATTTTCAGCAGAAACTTATGGTTATATGAGAAAGAAATTGGTTTATCGAAATTATTTATTCTTTAAATTTTTAATATCCCAGATTCATTGTTTGCTTTTAGGATTGGTTTATGCATTGATAGTTAAAGCATTCCGTATTCCCACCAGTATAACATTCGGAAAACTGGGGTTTGTTGTCTTATGGATGTTTGTTTCATTATTCATTAGTGCATGTGGTGCTGCTAATGAAGTTGCAGTACAGATTATTATGGCATACGATAGAAAAGTATTAATTGCCCCCTGGATGGTTTTTCACATTGTAAGTAATGTTGCAGTTGCATTTGGTCCATTGGATCTCCTGCCGGGATTTTACAGATACGGGTATGCATGGCCTATGTATAATGCTTATGAACTTATTCGAGTGGTATTTTTCAATACCTGGAAAGGTCATATGGGAAGAAATATTGGAGTGTTGATTACTTGGATAGCAGTGGGTAACATTGCATTGGTATTCATTAGCAACTGGACAACAAAGAGGGCCAAGAGAAAAGCTAAAGAAGAAAGAAGAAAGAAACGTGAAGAAGAAAAGAGATTAGATAAAGAAGCGGGATTGTAGGATTTTTATTGTCTAAATATCTATTTATTTAAACCATTAATTAATTTTTGCATGATTTCTTCTGCCAGTTTATTTGTTTCAATCTGGTGGTAGTTTTGACCAGCTAAATAGAATCCAATATCTTGACCATTCACTAACGGTTTCAACGATTTATATGCGTTATACATATATCCATAACCTGGTAATTCATTCAATGGATAGCCATTCTTGTTGATTAACCCATCAATAAACTCTGTTCTAACTGTTCTTGCTTGTTTTCCCGAAACCAAATCAATCATAATTGTATTTGATCTATCCTTAGTTTTAGCGGTGGTAAAAAATTTTGAATTCGTTGACTCTGGCGTGGCTAAAAATGCAGTACCCAACTGAACAGCGTCCGAACCTTGTTCTAAATAATAATTGATGGTTTCAGAATCAACAATTCCACCAGCAGGAACCAAAAATGGAACATTTTGTTGATCTAAAGTATCAATGTATTTCTTCAGTTGAATGAATAGAGCTTGGGTCGATAAGTTTTCATCAAAGGTTTTAGAAATTAAGAAATTTCCTCTATGACCACCTGCTTCATAGCCTTGCAATATAATACCATCCACACCACATTCAACTAATTTTTTTGTTTCTTCTAAAGATGTTGATGACACGAAAACCATTGTTCCAATCTTTTGTAATCTTTGAATTGTTTCCTGTGAAGGAATACCAAAATGGAAACTGGCGACTTTTGGTTTCAAATTTTCCAAATATTTTAATAATCGGTTGTACTGTGCCTCATAATTAGTTTCAACTTCTTTGAAAGAGACATTTCCATTGGTGAATTTTGCTTGGTTCAAAATTTCCTCTTTAATATTCAATACATTGCTATAAAGTTTCTTCCAATTTTGAATTTGTTCAGTAGTTGGAGTTGATTCAATCTCATGACAAAAGAAATTCAAATTGACTATATTCTTTTGTTTTTTAACCACCCGTGAATATTCTTCAATAAGTTTATCTAATTTAGGAACACCATCGTCCTGTCTGAAATCAATAGATGCCAAAGGTATTGAACCTAATCCACCATTGTTAGTAATAGCTGCAATTAACTCAATGGTGGATACACCAGCCATTGGTGAAAGAAAGATAGGATATTCAATTCCTAATTTTTGTAAAAGTTTCAATTTAGAACTCATTGGTTGATATAACTGTTGGTAGTATCTGTTAATCTTCTTGTTGATGGGTTGAATAAATGTGTTGAAAGAAATATAAACTTTATTTCCCCCGGAAATGAGCCAAGAGATTGAAAAAAAAAAAAAATTAAGCGGAGAAACAAAAATCCTTAATTGCTGCGGGTGCATGGACGGATATTTGCCACATGCAAAAATTAGAACAAATGATTTGTTGTTTCCAATGACTGAATTTTGAAATCATTAAAGTGTTTGATATTCACTTTGTTTTTTCAACAAATTGCAACATTAAGTCCTTGATGGGTAATATCACTTTATAGAGCATTTAATGCCAGAGTATAATTTTGAATATTGTATTCCTTTTTGGTAGTAATTCTTGATTAAAACTTTATAATAATCAACACATTAACGTTGGACAAAGATATATCTTTTTGATGCTGCTGGTCAAATCTCCAAACCAACAAGGATATTAAACAAAACCATATATTCTATGACTTTGTAGACGCTTTCTATGCCCATACTATATATTTGACATAATTATTTATGTGCTGAAAATTTGGTTTTTACACGAAAAGTGGCAGGGTTTTTCTTTTGATGGTTATTTGAACAACAACCTGCCTACGAGAAACAGAAATTAGAAATCAATAAATATAAATTTATATTCAAAAATACTGACAAGATATAGAAGATAAAAAAATAGGAAGCAAGCAACGATTTGTTTCAATAATAGAATTCAAGGCAATACAAAAACAATTATCTTCATTTATAAGGTATCAAAGTAGCATCAATTACATAACAGTACAGTTGGAAGCCATGTATCCTCTACCATTCAAGACACGAATAACAGCATTGTCTTTAGAAGCAGCAGAAGTGGATTGAGTTTTACCGTTAGCGTTGTTGTTAGTTTGTTGAGCAGCCATTGTTGATTTGTTTTTGTTTGTTTGATGATGATAAAAGAGAAATGTCAAAACTTGAAAGATATTCCATACTCCTTATATAGATCAGAAAATAAATAGATGCATTAGTATTCTGGAAGTTTTCAATAAGTTGATTCTTAGATAACATTTTATTTTCTGTAAAAGAGTTTTGATTCAGGATTCAAATTTCCTAATTTGTCGATGACAATGAACTTGAAGATGAACCAACACTAAGAGATTAATGTATGGTAATACACCAATAAATTATTTGATTTCTTGATCATTCTAAAATAACTCTCCATTGAGTATGAATATGAATTATAAAAGTCTATTGTTTGTTTGTTCTTTACTTTTTGGGGAATACACGGTCTGGAAATAATGAAACAATTTTCTTCTATTTCTAGAAAATATAACTTTAAATTATCTCAAATGCTAATTATTACATGCCCATTCAAGCTTTTTGATGTTGTAAATACTAGTAGTAAATAGCATCTAACATTTTAGTCCATTGATTATTTATTGTATCATATCTGGTTCAAATACCTAATCTCAGTTTTTTATTGAATATAGGTTTGGTATGAATCTTTCAATTCTTTATATATCCGACTCGTTTCCCATTCCAAACGTAAACCTTACATAATGAATTACATTATCAATATAAGCCAATAGGTTATTATTTAGATCGAACTCAAAAAGTACAATCGTTTTTTTCTATTTTTGTCAATATTTTCTACATGAATTATTTATAGAACCTCTTTACTGTTTTGTATCCCGGTTTCGGTTTAATTAGCTAATTTCTATGATTTACAATGATTGGATAATGATGGTTTATCCTTTGACGGGATCTCATAATCATGATCATTGTCAATCATTACATAATAAAGTAATTAATATGGAAAAAGGAGGAAGAAGAAAAATTCTCCTATAGAAAGTGTTGTTTCACATTTAAGGATTCAATTATGTAAATTGCCCAAATATTAAATACATACACATTACAATTCATCCTCAAGTTTTTTCTTCCAGTTATATAATTCAAAAAATCAGCCAATGTATTTTCTCACAAGATTTACAATTTCATCGTATAGAATCAAATGAGTATATATATGGCGGTATCAGTTGTGAATTCTTGGTGATAATTGGAATCTCTGTTACTATTAATAATTCAAGGGGAGTTGTTCTATCCAAAAAGAAACATGGTATTTGGCGACATTATACACATGAAATGTTTATCTTCCTTGCTGAAACATAATCCCTCATCACAATTAACACCTCATCTACATGTTGATTAATCTTGTACTCCTTAACTCAACCCTGAATGGTATCCACCTATGATAAGTTTCAAGTATAAATAACTAGCATTTCCTCTTCTATTCTCTTAGTTATCTTTTCTATTTCAATCACACTAATTTAATAGTATACAATTCAAAAAATGAAATTTTCAACAGTTGCTTCAATTTTCGTTTTAACTTCCGCTACTCAAGGTTGTTTGTTAGGTGGATTACTCGGTGGTTTAGGTGGTAGTTCAAGTAGTTGTACTTCTGGTTATAGTTGGTCTGATTTTTGTAGCAGTTTTGGTGTTTCTGTTAGACCTCAACCTGTTTCTTCTTGTGGTACTGCTCAATGTCAAGTATCTTGCTCCAGTTCAAGTTGTTAAATTATCTAATACTAGATTAACTTGATCTATTTTTTTTTTGTTTTTATAGTGATATCCAGAATATATGAATTTTGTTTTCTTTCAATGGTATTATACTATATATATTGAACTAGAGAACTCGAATAGTTGTGTGTACTCTTTGCTTCTTCTATTGACATGGGTGGCTCGCGTGGATTGTAGCACTGTTATCTATTACAGCATTACACCCTCCAACTCAATCTAAATTAACATACTAAAATTACTTATATTGATATATAAAACAAACTAAACAAATATTTATTCAGAAGAATTTTCTTCTTCAATAACCATCAAACTATGGAGTGGACTTTCAAATCCTGATTTATCTAATGAAAAATTTCTTGGTTGAGAATCCAATTTTTTATCATTCAAGAAACCCAATTGACCAAGTACTTCTTTAACTTCAGTATAATCAAATCCATCACCTTCACCTTCGTTATCTTCATTAAGCTCTAATTTCTTTTGTAAACCTAAAGCAAGTGCTTTACAATAACCCTTATATTTAACCATTGTTAATTCAAGATCATTCATCTTCATAATAAAATTATTGGTGACAATCTTTCTATTATTTGTATTTTGACATTCTGGAATTAATAAACAAAACTTCTTTTGCTTTTCTTGTAATTCTACCAATTTATTTTCCAAATTATGGAAATAACTGACTGTATGTAGGAATTGATGTTGTAAATCATGACTGGTTTTGTTGACACCAATTGGAACGGTCACATATTTATGAATCTTTAATCTCTTAAAAGTATCTGAATGCTGGAGAATACTATCCAACTGATTAAATCCATAGTTAATAGATGATTGTGATTCTTCCATGGAAGGAATAGCTGTAACTCTTGCAGACCAGAAATTACATGAATTTTTAAATTCTTCAGCAACTACCTCGGTACCAGCAGAGAATAACAACTTCTTTTTGTTTGGAAGCTTCAAAGACCATGATTTACCACTAGATTCAGCAAAACATGAACATAAATTATAACTTCCAATCATCAAGGATGACTTCAACCAATTACCATCACCAACTCCATCTTCACCATTGCCAGAACCAGCAGCCTGGTGAACAGCTCTCTTTTTTCTCTTTAATTTTTCATCAAAACTAAAAATCAGAAGTGTTGCTTGCGAAACAACAACAAACACACTGGCAAAACTACTTGAACGACTGAAAATAGATCTTCTTTCACCGGTATCTTCTTTATACATAAGAAGACCTTCTTTCAAAAATGGAGCACCAGACAATTCCAACTTGTCATTAATCTCACTATCATCATAAGAGAATGTTTGTTCCTCTTCTTCGGCTTCTTCCAGTTCTTCTTCAATCAGCACAATATCGGCTTTGGATGTTCTACCCATTATTTGATCAAACGAGGATCTTCTTCTTAAACCATTAGTTGTTGTAGCCTGTGAAAGCACAGACTGGTTGGAGAGACTATAGATTCCATCTGGTTTGCTTTCAGCAGCAAGGGTACGAGCCAAACCCATTCGACTTGGTGGTTTTCTGTTTGTTGACATTTCTGTTGAACAAGTGTTGTAACGTTGTAATGAGAATGAAGCTCTTCTGTTGGTAGTGTTTGTAGTGGTGGTGGTATCATTTGACCAAGTAGATGAAGAAGATGCTTGACGAGTTAAAGTGAGATGCTGGTTGTCTGGGGATTCTGCCAATTCAGATTTGCTCATTTTTGACATTCGTCTTTCATGATTAGAATTGGCTGTTTCACTATTCTTAAGATTGAGCTCTTTGTGGGCAAGATTATCATAGTAGCCAGCCAATTCAGTTTCAATAGCAATTTTTTGTTTGATTCCCAATGGTTTCTTGGTTTGTTGATTTACAAACGTTTCCAATGTGTTTTTGATAAAGTCATGTTTGCTTATTCTTGACTTTTTATCCAATTCTGCATTATGGAGTGCTGTATTCAACAAAATCAAGGAATATATAACAATATAGATTTGTTCAAAATTATGGGTGAAAAAAGGGTTGTTCCTATGTTGACGAATGTATGACTTTGTAAATGAGCTAAGAATTCTGTCAATTTCTTGTGATTCACCTTTCAAGTATAATTTTGAGCAAAGAATTCTGGTCGATTTTAACAAATTGGGAGACCATTGGAAATATGACATGTAGTAAGCACGTATTTTGGAAGAATCCTTATCACCAGCAGCAAGAAATTGGGTATATTCAGCTGGTTTAATGGATACAAAATCTTCATCAAACAATCGACGGGCAATTAACTTGTATTCTGCATCAGGATCCTCTTCTTCCTGTTCCTCGTCCTCCTCTTCATTCACAAGAGCGACTGGATTTTGTTCGTCAAGTTCTTTCTCCTCTGGTGTGTGATTCACTGAGTCTGTTTCGTCTGATAAAGAACTTTGGGCATCTTGATTTTCAGAAGTAGGAGTTATAGGTAAAGGTTTATCGTCTTTAACCGCTTGTTTACTTGGTTTTCCGGATGTTTTGATTGGAGGTGGTTTGGTGATATTTATGGATGAGTTTGGAGTAGTGGAGGTGGTGACGGTGGAGTCGGATATATTTGTTACAGCTGATACCATTGACTCTACTGACTCAATACTCATGTTATGGTTGATTGGTAGCAAACGACACTTTGAATAATGTGTTAAGATCAAAAATAAAATGGGATGGATACTGGATTGAACAGAAAGAATAAAATTATTCAGTGGATAATAATAACAATTCTAAATTAATTAAATATCCCTAAATGCAGATCGTAATAAAAAAAAATAATTCAACTGAAACTTGAATGAATAATAATAATAATTATAAGTGTAGTAGTTGAAGTTGATGTGGAGTGGGAATTATATTGATGATATAGTTGAAAAAAAAAATTATCCCAAGCACCAAAAAAAAAAACACGTATGATTTCTTGTGTAGTGAATAGTCTAGTTAGATAATGGATTAGATTAACAATAGACGGAGGAGAAAATGATGAAAGGAACGATGACTTGAGATTAATCTTCTTGTTATTTAGACGATTGGTAAATAAAAGAAAAAATCTGTTTTAGGTAATATTAAACTCAACCTCGTGTAGCGGATTTTCAAGTGTGGATTATTATTGTTCTAATTTTTTTGTTTTTAGTTTTTTTTTTCCCTGTAAGTGGATTAGATTAGATGTGGTCCCTGATGTGTGGTATTGTCTTCACAACTAATGCAAGTTGACTGGGATGAATATTTGTTTTTTAAAAAAAGGGAAAACTATTGAAAGAATAAATTTCAAATTTGTTGAATGAATAAACAAAAAAAGAAAACAAATCAAAATTAAGAAAGAAAAAGAATAAAGAAAAAATTCGAAATTTGAAAACAAATAGGAGGAATTGGTTATCTATTTCTACTTCTTAAATCAAAGAGAATTTTATTAATAAAAAAAACAAAACTGAATATGTTTATGTAGATTATTAGTATTACTATTATCATTGCGTGTGGTATATGAATCTGTGTGTTATTAGACAATGAAAATTTTTCTTTTTTCATTTTTAGTAAACGCACGACTGCTGTACAAGGGTGCTTCATTTTATTTTATTTTCATTGCCAATTTAATAATAATAACAACCACCACAAAACTAATATCCATTTGGGTTTAGTTTAGTTTTTGTAATACATGTAAAATTCTGTTCAATTCTTTTTTAAACCTTATCCCCTACTGTACTGTACCCTCTCTGTCTCCCTCCCTCCCCCCGCTGTGACATTAGTATTGGCTACTATTAATAAACCGTACATATAAGGAGGGCTCACAACAGTGTATTATGTACATCTTCATATATTATTAGCCTTTCTATGGTTTTTGTAACTTTATTGCTCCTCTTCTTCTTCCTTCTTTTTCTTGATCAACTTGATCTTAGGTAATAACCAAACTTATCGTTGATACTATTAACAACGAGATGTATTTTTACTTAAATTGTAGCCAATCGATAAAGAAAGAGCTTATCCCACACCATCCTGGGTCGTCATTTCCACCACGAACTCTGGCATGCAATGCTTGTCAAACAAAGATAAAATAAATATCACTACCACATCGTCAATTCTTAAACTTTAAACCTTTTTCTTAATACATACACTTACTCGTAGTCCCTTGGTTACCAAAGAATGGGTGGAAAGAAAATAATGAACAAAAAAGAAAATAAAAATAAAAGATCTTCTGAAGTTTAATAATTGATCATGTTGCAATTATTCACTCACATTCACTTTTGTTTCATGATGAAGTGTGTGGTAATTCAGGCACCAGTGGGTACAGAATTGCATTTTGAAAGCATAAACTTCAATCATTTGCGGTGAATAAATGGAACAGGAAGGACAAAACATCAACAACAAACAAACGGTTTCATCAGGGTATGATCCTGTATTGCACCACCCATTAGTTTGCACTAAATGCGCAGATTCTTCTTTTTTGTCTTTTTGGTTTTAAGTTGCTTCCATCTAGAAATGACTTTGAAGTGAGTAATCAGATCTTGATAAGTTGTAGATACTCCCTGGTTGATGTTGTTGAGTTGAAAATTTCAATACCAGATGTGACAGCACAAGAAGTAATAAAAGGCGGATACAATTAATCCCTGCAGCCAACTATATTTTAGACGAATTCTAGACAAAGGCAGAAGAGAAACAAAAACGAACGGACTCATATGCGGGCGCATACAACATTCATCAAGACAGCCCCCCCCCAAAAAAAAAAAAAAACATAACCATCACCAGTATGCATTCTTCTTTTCAATTACAACACCTATTCTTTTTTTACATCAAACTATCATTCACAGTCAAGGTTTGTTTGCTCCACATGATGTAAAGTTCGGACGTTGGTGTTTTTGTGGGTTCAAAGTGTAAAGAAATCAAGTCGTGGCTGTATACTTTGTTCTATGCGTAGACAACTTAATTTAGCAACTACTACATAAATTATGCATCAACATAAATTTTGTTGGACTTTTGTTACCCATTCTTGTTCCACATGCTATTCATTACGTGTTCTCTGTGCCATTGTGGCACAATACAATACGAAAGGACAGAACAGTAGAGATGCCATCAGTGTTACTAATGAGCCTGCTTCACACATTGCATCAGGAGAAGGTTGTACCCTCCAACCTTGACAAAGCAACATTTCAACTGTTCAGGTTGTTGAAGCTTTCAACAACAAAAAACAAAAAAAAAAAAACAGAGACGCGTCGCCCTAGTATTTTTCTTTGTTGAATGTTTCTAACATTCTCAAATGAAACTAAATTGTATCTCCTCTGGTTAAAGTTTTAGAAACCAATTGGAATGTTTAAATCAAACAAACTTATGTGACATTACATCAACTAGTTATTACTTGACTAACCTTAGGTGGAGTTAGGATATGTCCGACACACACCAAACCGTTTTATTATCTCCTCTGTAAAACAACAGAATAATAGTAATAGTAACAATTCAAAAGCGCAAGGCATCCCTTAATTATCACCCCAAAAAAAAACCATCATCAAGTTGACGAGCTAATAACTAGCCGAAACCCCCAAATAGGAAATAATTGATCTACCACATATATTAATAAATGATTTACAAATAATTGGTGATTTTTATTTATAATTGTAATGTTTTGGCACTGTATCACAGATAATATTACGAATGGGTCGTAGGTCGACTGAAGACGAAAGAGTATTAGAATGTAAGAATAATGGAGACGTTAATATCTTCCGCTATACTCCCGCTCTACAATGCGTCATTGGCTAATGGTTTGAAATTCGCTTAATTTCATCCCTAATGCCTTATTATTTCATTATCATTCCTTTGTTTAGTTTAGTCAATTTCTTGTCTGTCAGCTGAAATTCCAGGGTAGTGTCCATTGGCATATTTCTTCTTTTTTTTTTAAGGGCTAAAAACTAGAATTGATAAACCCAAACTAACCGGAATAATTACACAATAAATGATTCATTGACCAATAGTATGAGTGTGGGTAAGGGAAAGAAATGTAATTGACTCATATGCAATTAATTAAATTATTTTAAGGTGAAACAATGAAAACTGATAATGATGACAAGGGAGAACAGAAATATCATTTCCCTTAATATGACAATTTGCACTATCAATGAATCATGAATTTCAACTGTGATATCCCATAAACGCGACATTGATGAAGTCTTCAGAATGATATCACTTTTAGTATCTCATGCCTCCTAACCCCTTTGTCCAATAATTTTAACCGTTTGAAATAAAAATTGTTTGTTCAAAATTTTTTTACACAAACTTTACAACGAATTGTTTGGGAAATATCAGTTGTCATTATCATTCTTTTTACTATCGTACATTTCGAATTCCTATCGTTGACATCACAATAAATAGACCAATTCATCACCAACTTGGTTTTTTGTTTTCACAATTTTTCATATTTTCCATTTTAATACATGGTATCTTTACCTACAAGTTCATCCACTGCTGTGCAACTTGGTTACGAAATTTCACTATAACACTTAGAAGTATCAAGGAGAAACCTCAGGGGATGTAATAGTTACAAATATAAATGCCTCCCCCCTTAAAATTATTCACGTGACTTTAGTCATTTTTCTGAGCTAAAGAAGATTCTGGATATTTCGGTTCTACACTTTTTCATGGAGCAACCCCTAAAAAAGTTGGGGGAGAAAAATGACGTGAAACAAAAAATATTAGAAAAGAAGATCCCTCACCCCCTTTTTTTTTCAACCAAGTATATTCCCATTATCTGCCACCATAACTCAAACAATGTTGGATGAATTTACTACTAAAGTAAATAATCATCTCGAAAAATGCCGTGTGGATAAGTCACCGGTCGATGCTAATTTAATCGATGGATATTGCTTATCCATTGACCGAGAAACTGCCGAACAGCCAAATTATTTCCAAACCATTATCCCATTAGTCAACCAATTGTTATTAGATGAAAACTACTACGAATTAGATCCTCATGGTATTTTAATTGATTTGTTACTGACTTTATTGTCACACTTGAAATTTAAGCAGGTTTTAGAGTTTTACCCTAACGAATTTATTTTGGATAATCTTTTTGAATCAACTGTGCCCGTGGTTAATATCTTGTGTTTGAAAATCATCATTTTGAACATCCACGAACAAGAAACCTTGAAGTTTTTACACGACAATAATGTCATCTACAGGTTAGTTGAAAAATTCTTCACTGAAGAAACATCTATCCCAGTATTGGGTCAGATCGAATTGTTGATTACCAAATTAACATCCCCAGAGGAGATTGAATTACTGAACGAA